CAGGCAGCCCCGGGCCGGCGTGCGAAGGGCTGTCACCGCAGCTCATCCATGGAGGATTCTGAGCAGGAGGCTGATGTGGTCAGATTTATTTCTGAGGAAGATCCCTGGGACAGTCAGAGCAGAATCTGAATTTATCTCTATCACTCAACTAGTTCTGTGCTCTTGAGCATGTAACTCATCCTCTCTGTGACTAGTTTGCTAATCCCCCAGATGGGGATAATAACAGTACTCGTCTGGAAGGGTCATTATGAGAACTGGGTGAAGGAATTCAAAGAAGGCTAGCAGACTGAAGAGCTTAGTAAATGCCAGCTATGCGGAGGAGGAGGAGGGAGAGAGGCAGGAAGAGGAAAAGCAGGAGGAGGAACAGGAGACAGTAACCAGAAGGTCTCAGATGAGTGACAACGAGGAGCAGAGGGTGGTGACGTGCGCCCCGGTTCCTGAGCACCTTACCTGAGGGCGAGGAGCAATGCGCAGGGCGAGGGAATGGGGGATGAACGTGGGGATGAGAGCGCTACCCGCTGGGAATGGCGCCTCAGGAGAGCTTGTCTCAGGGTTGGAAAGGAGACTGGGGTGGGCTGGGGACCACGGATGCTGGCTCAGCAGAAGCCTCATCAAGCAGCAGAGGCCACGGTGTGTCCCAGCCTTACCACCCTTGCTAGGTGCCCGGCACCGAGTCTCCCTAAGGCCAGGTGGTGTGAATACTGAGCTCCTGGCAGAGCCCATCCCAGGCTTCTGCGTTCCTCTCAGGCTGGGGACAGAATACACACTTAGGTAAAGATGGGCATTCAATCCCCATCTTGGGCCTGGTCCAGTAAGGCTTCCTACACGGGACGTGATGGCCCTGTTTGCCCTGTGGGTTTCCCAGCCTGTTGGCCCACTCCGCCTGCCTTTCCCAGGAGGTCCCGTTTCTCCCTCCTCTAGGCCTGGCCTCTGACCTCTGCTTTCAGGTCACCTCCAAGGTCAGGCCCTGCAGCCTAGACAGTCGAACGCTTCACTCCCTAGTGCAGCAGGGCTTTTCTAATAGCAACACAACCAATAATAGTAAAATAATAAGCAGCATTACTATTTGGCATATACTCCACTTACTAAGTGTCAAGCACTATGCTAGGTCCTTCTACATTTCATCTGGTTTAATTTTTAAAACTCTGAAAGATGGGTAGGACCACTCATATTTCACAGATAAGACTAAGGGGCCTAGGTAATCTGCCTAAGGTAACCCAGTTAAGTGACAACATTCAACTTTTCGACCTAAGTCTACATAACTCCATAGCTGCCTTTCCTTCTTAAACCATGCTGTCTCTCCCAAATTCAGGGACCCAGTCCCCCCAGTCATGAATGTGGGGTCCTGGCCAGCCTCTTAAATCCCTCCCTCCTTCCCCAAGGATTGAACCACAGCTGGAAGGTCAGGCCTGGGTCCAGACCATCCACAGGCCAACCCCCAACGCTTGTCCTTTCCCCTCCCCTCCTGGGCTGGAACCACTCCCGTGCGACCCAGCCCAGGCCTCCAAGCCCCACGGAATTATCACCAGGCAGAGGCCCCCCAGCAGGGAGGCCAGCTTTCCGGTTTCAGGAGTGAGGATGAGGAGGGAACAGGAGGGGGCGGCCAAGGGGGTTGGGAAAGCAGCTCCCTGGGCCTCTGAAGCCCTGGGTCACCGGCATTCTGGGAAGGGGGGCTGGCAGAGGTAGGAGGGATGGGGCTGGGGTGACTGCCTGGCGAGCTGCGCCTCTCACATGTCCTGTCCCCTCCAGGCCCCAGGACAACGCATGGGGAGTTTCTAGCCTTCACCAAACACCAGGAGGAGGATGCTCAGGCCACAGCACCTACCACACTGCATTATAATTCCAGTTTCAGGACTGTCTCTCCCATTAGAGAGTATAAGCGATGATGGGTCAAAGACAGTGTTTAGTCATCTCTGTATTCCCAGGGAGCAGCCAAGGGAACAGCTCAACAACGCCCGGCAGGCGAGTGCGTGCGTGGACGGATGGAGCCAGGTGCGCCTCGGAGAACTTCACAAGGGCTGGAGGCTGCCCCTCTCACCGTGGACTTACATCTACCTAACCCTCATGCCCCAGTGTCCACCCTCCCTGCAAACCTCAGGCTCCCCCCTCAACAGCCCACTGGTGCTCTTCTGACCTGCCCTGAGCACACACACAACCTCTTGGGAACTCCACCTGCTTGCTGGCTTGGTCAGGGCTACTGGGATCTGGGAGATAAAAGGCCTTTTGGTAACTTATCTGGAGTTATTGGTGCTACTATCCAGTGAATCAGGGAACCAAATGACCACACATGGTGATGAGGAGAGAGCCAGTATGGATGAAGTATGGCCAGTCCTAACACAGGCTGTTCTTTGAGTTTAGTCTTCCTTTCTCACATCTTTCCATATCCAATCAGGACTCTCGGGTACCAGAATGTGACACACAAAGGCAACTGCTCACATAGCAAGTGGCAAGCAGCACCCATGGCTGAGGCCTAACACCTGTTCCAGCCCTGCCCAGCCAGGCCTTGGCTCCTGAACACAGAGCTGCCTCCTGCCAGAATTCTGCAGGTGAGGCTCAGACAGGTGCAGAGAGCTCTCCAGTGGCTGCATGGTTAGAAACATCATGCAGGAGCAGGACAAGCCTGTGGCTGAGCACCAGATGGGAGGGGCCTGGAGCAGCAGCCTCTCCCACACGTACCTGGGTCTCAGAGCCCAGCGAAGTGAAGTAGAGCGGAGAGGTCCTTTGAAGGCATTAGCCTGGGCCTGGGGTGGGAAAGGGCACTAAGAAGAGGCTTCCTGGTAGCCAGAAGGGCCTGGGTAGGCCTGTTCTGGAGCTGGGATTGGTGGGGCCATGTGTATCGTGGCTTCCCTCTGGCAGCTCATTCTAAAGACCCACATTTTCTTTGCATTAGAGCCAGGGGAGGCTCATGGAACTTCAGAGGACTCCTCTCCGTCTCCTCGCTCTCCTTCCCACTCACCCCAGCGACCTGCGAAGGCATTCTCACCAATGCAGTCTGGTCCTAGATCCCTGGGCAGGGCCTGGACGGGACAGGGCACAGACATCAGCTCAGGTGAGCATGTGCCTGAGCACAGCCCACACTTCCTCATCTCAACGGCTCTCGTACCTCTGGTCAGCCTGCTGCCAAGGGCAGACTAGGCGGCAAGCGCCACAGGGACTCCCTGGGAAAAGTGAGGCCCTGCGGTCTGCTCCTTGAGTGGCCCGAGTACAGTGTTTTCTGACCCTAGTTGGCTTCCCTCCGTTTCTTCTTTCTTTCCTTACTACCTTGGATGAACAGTAAGAGCTTTGAATTAACTGACCTTGATGTTCTTGGAAGGAACATATGACAACCCCACCTGGCTGGCCCTGGCCACCCTGCTGGCCTCCTGATTTGGGCTGCCTGTCCTATCCCTGCAGGAAGCAGCACCTGGTATTTATCTGAGCCAATTCCAGGTCATTTATGATGGCTGGGCACTGGAGGTAAAAAAAGCAAAGAGGACCAGGGTCCTGCCCTCTGGGAACTCCTCTGGCAGGTGTCCATGGGCAGAAGAAAGGAAGTGTAAGGACGGGGCGGGCAGGTGGTCAGGCCCGTGGGAGAAAGCAGCCTCCTGCTCTCTGGGGTTCATCAAAGCAGACCCAATTTGCTCCCATTTCTCCCTTAAAAGTACCTACCTGCGATCCCAATTCTACCACCCTCAAGGCAAAGAGAAGGGCTGAGGACACAGTGCCCGGGCTTCAGTGTTCTCAGACAGTGCAGTGCTCCCGGGGCCCCATTCGCTACCTGGTTTGCATGGGTAGCAGGCGGCAGGGCGGCTGCTTGCAGCTGAAGCCACACCCTCTGCTCCCCTTTGGTGAGCCAGGCTGGGCCAGGGAGCTGTTGCCTCCTTCTGCCTGGCTCTGCGGTGGGCTCCCCGTCCTCTCTGTCCCACCTACCTGAATGTCTGGACCTGACTTCTGTCTTCTCTCTCGCTTGCTACCTACTTGACACTGCCTGCACCTGACCTCGCTTGGGTAAGGGCTGTGGAGTTAAACCAAATTGCACTGAGACCTCCACAGGCAGGTTAAGTTTTCCCACCCCCCAACTCTCTAAACATCCAGGCAGAACTGGCTTCTTACTACAGGCAGAGGGCCGTCTGTACCATTCTCCTCTGGTGGGAGGAGTGGGTATTGAAAGATGAACGGTCTAAACTCTGCATGCCCCTCCCCTGGAGTGGCTGGTGACGCTGGTCGAGGGGAGAGGGGGAATGGCCTGGACAATTTGGCAGGCGTCCCTGTAGGCCCAGAGCAGATACAGAGGACTCAGGAGGGGACTCAGTGTGTCCATTTGGCCACATAAGCTATCTGAAGAAACAGGCCCTCACCCTTGCCTGCCCAGAACAGTGAGTATGGAATCTGATTATTCAGAGTGGAGTCAGCTCAATGGGAAGTTGGGGACCCAACTGTAGATCAGTGGTAAAAGTACAAAGTAGGGAGAGGCTATTATACGTGAGTTCGGGAATGAGCACCCTCAAGTTGAGGGGTCTGCTGTCCCCGCACAGTGGCCCCAGGGGCTGAACAAGGCATTCCTCCTTCAGCTGGGAATGAGGGTGGACCCACACGACCAGAGTCAGAGACCTCACAGAGGGTGAGAGGGACCTGGGGAGGCAACTACAAGGACAGGGCAGGAGAGTACGGAAATTAGGAGTCATGCTAGAGCTAGCCACCTAAGCTTTCCTTACCAGGGGATCTACAGCCGGAGAAGGGCCCACAGGGACTTGGGGTGTGGGTTGGGGTTCACTAGAGAAGGCTGAGAAAGGATCTACAGCCTGGGTATCTGGAGGCAGGGAGCAGATACCAGGCGTATCAGCTCCAGGAGTCTAGGCCAGTCACCCCTGGTTGAGTTTGGGTGTTTTTCAACTTTGAGTCATTAATGCTTCTTCTGAAAGGTTCCTCTTTGTTCTTTGTTGGTTCAGAGGAGGGAGCTGACCTAGAAGCTGGACAAGGCTAGGGCAAGAGGGAAAGGAGCTGGTGCACAGGGAGCTCACCACTCTCTCCTTGTAGACGATGTACTTCAGCCACTTGAAGTCCTGCCACTTGAAGCCAGCGAGGACAAAGAGAGAATCGCGCTCGTATTGCTCAGGCCGCTGCATGGCGCCCTCGGGGTAGGTGATGCGCAGTGTAGTTTTGCTGCCCACGTCCTTCTCAAAGCCTTTCACTGGAGCTGAGTTCAGTCTGCAGAGAGCAGGCGCAGTCAGAGCCTGCCCTGGGCTCACTGCACACGGTCTGTGGTCTATGTCTGGGGAAGCACCCTGACCCCCGAGTCCCCCAGGCACAGAGAGCGGGAGCCCAGGGCATCGGGAGCCATCTAGCATTCCGTTCCAAATCCTCCAACCTAGGGTTCTTCTGGAGGCTTCTGCTGACCTCCAGCCTAACTGAAGATGGCCAGACAGTTTCAATGGGCACAGGCACCAGGGTTGGGGCCAGGACTTGCAGGTGCCCGAGGCACTGCTTTGGGGAGCTTACCTGACCACAATGTCATAGTCATCAATTCGTGACCCCAGAGACTTGTTAGCAAGGACACCTCCATTGCCCACGATGATGCAGCGGCGGCAGCTGAGGCTGAAGGGAGAGAGGCAGAGACCTCTAGAGAGCTGTCCACCAGGCCTCCTTCTCCCCTACCTCTTGGCCCTTGACCCCATGACCTTGACCAGGCACAGGCTTGGGTGGAGGAAGAAAACCAATGGGCTTCTGGCAGCGTGTCTGAGAGGAGGCCAGACCACACTGGGTAGCCGGGCCACCTGGAACTCTCAGACGTCCCTAGGCCCTGACACTTCTCCAGGAAAACGTGGGTGTGGAAAGGGCTGGGACACTAGCTCCGGGCGGATGAGGAAGGAGGCTCTGGTAAGACAGCACTCTGGGTTAAAGACTCCCCAAGAGTTAGTGGAGTTTAGGCAGCTTTCAGGAGACGGGGAGCAGGCTGAGATCGAGGGCTGTGCCAGAAAAGCCAGAACAGAGAAACGGGCCTGGGGGCTCCAGCACTCAGGCTGGGCTTCAGCTCAGAAGCCCCCATGCACCTCACAGCCACCAGGGAGCCCTACTCCTGCCCCTGGTCCTGGGGCTTCTTCCATCCAGGACCTGTTGGCTTCAGAGGTATCACTGCCTCCTGGATGTAAGCCCTGGCCCCTTTAGCTGACCCGCCACCTAACTCCTCAGTCCCAATGCTGGGCACATCCCAACCCAGTGTCTTCGGTTCTTACCCTCAGAACTCTGCTGTCTGAGGACTGAGACGCCTTGCCAAGTGCTTAAAGCCCACAAATACAAGCCCAGATGGCCCCACTTCTCTACTCACCCACCCAGCGTGTGTACTATGTGTGTACATGTGGATATGCTGGAGAAAGTAACATGGATGCATTGCTCATGCCCAGGCCTCGACACCTCCGCACATGCCAGGCCGCTGAGGGGCAGGAGGCGGAAGCGAGCAGCTCACCTGTCCAAGGCAGGGGTCAGGCGGTACTCTTTGGTGACTGACAAGATGGCTTTGATCAGATTGTCTGTGAATAGAAGAGGGAGGTTACTGTCAGAGGCTCACTGAAGCTCCCACAGAATGTTTCCCAGTGAGCCAGTTTGAAGGCACAGGCTCCCGGGGCTGGGGTGGAGGTGGGGAGAGGGAGCTCTGGGCACAAAGTTGGCCAGGCTGCTGCCTTAACTTTCTCCCTGAAAATGGAGAGGGGTCCCTGGCCAGTTTGGCTCTGTGGTTAAAGCATCAGCCTATGGAATTAAGGGTCGTGGGTTCAATTCTCGGTCAGGCACCTGGGTTGCACCTGGTTGGGGTCGTGTGGGAGGTGACCACAATTGATGTGTCTCTCTCACATCAATGTTTTTTTCCCCTCTCTCCCCCCTCTCCCTTCTACTCTATCTAACAACAACAACAACAACAACAACAACAAAAATCAATGGAAAAATATCCTTAGGTGAGGATTAACCAAAAAAAAAAAAAAAAGAGGGGGGGGCGGAGAACAGGCAGGCACACTCAGCTCTGCCTGGAGCCAGCCCCAGCCCCAGGACAGTGTCTTCCCCGGCTCTTCCCGGGCAGGCTCACTTGGCTTTGGGAGGCTCTGCAGTCAGGCCTGGCACTGCCCATGATGGTAGTACCTGCTCAGAGACAGAGAGCACGTTATGCTCATCTCTGTGCCCCACTGAGCAGACACCAGAGAGCCAATGAGGAGGCAACCGAAGATGAAGGATGAAGAATGGAGTGGTCCCAACCAGCTCCCCCAGCCAGACCACTCTGCTCATTTCTTTTTTTATTTTTAATTAATTAATTAAATAATTAATTTTAAATCCTCACCCAAGGATATTTTTCTACCTATCTTCAGATAGAGTGGGAGGGAAGGACAGAGAGGGAGAGAGAGAGAAACATTGATGTGAGAGGGACACATCAACTGGTTGCCTCCCACACGACCTTGACCAGGGCCAGGGAGGAACCGCAATCGAGGTACATGCCCTTGACTGGAATCGAACCCGAGACTCTTTGGTCCATGGGCTGATGCTCTAACTGCTGAGCCAAACCAGCCAGGGCACTTTTAAAATTTTTTTAATCTTTACCCAAGGATATGTTTTTTTAATTTTTAAATTTTTTTTTCTATTTATTTAGATGTGGAGGGTGGTGGTTAGGTCGATGCTCTAACTGCTGAGCCAAACTGGCCAGAGCTGATATGTTTTTTTTTTTCAAATTGATTTTACAGAGAGAGGAAGGGAGAGGGAGAGAGAGAGAGAGAGAGAGAGAAACATTGATTGGTTGCTTCCTATACACACCCCAACTGAAGATTAAACCTGCAACCTTAGGTACGTGCCCTGATCAGGACTTGAACCCATGACCTTTTGCTGTACTGGATGACACTCCAACAAACTGAGCCACTGGCCAGGGCTCTGCTTCATTTCTCACACTGTCTTCCCCTCACTTCCTCCCTTGAACACTGCTGCTCTCTCTAATCCTGTTTTTGCCAGGCTGTGCCTGCCTCCTTACCTCTTCAAGCCCTGCAGCCTGGCATCTGCCCACCTGCACTGCACTCCACTCAGGCGGCCCTCAGCAAGGGCCCCATGACCTCTGTGCTCTCAGATCCTGTGCCCACTGGTGAGACCTCATTCTTCTTGGCCTCTCTCTGCAATGATAACTGCTCTCCTTTCCAATTCTGGTATAATGAGAGGATTATAATATCATGCATAATAATATTAGTTTTGGAGTTAAATCCTGGCTCTGCTACTTAAGACCTTAGATCAATCACTTTCTTTGTGCATGAAGTTTCCTCATCTTTCAAATGGTAATTCTATTCTGTAGAGTTGTTAGAAAGATGAAAAGATAATATATATAAAGATCTACAGATAAGTAAGTAAATCAGTACAACCACAGTGGAGAACATCTTTTTTTATTTTATTTATTTTTTTATCCTCATCCGAGGACATTTTTTTGTTCAGGTAGAGTAGGAGGGAGGGAGGGGGGGAGGAGGGGGGGAGAGAGAGAGAGAGAGAGAGAGAGAGAGAGACATTGACGTGAAAGGGACACATCGAGTGGTTGCCACCCGCACAACCCAACAGGGCCGGGGACAAACTGCAACCAAGGTACATGCCCTTAGCGGGAACTGGACCTGGGTCTCTCTGGACTGCAGGCAACACTCTAACCACTGAGCCAAACCAGCCAGGGCAGTGGAGAGCATCTTAATAACATCAAGTACAGACACAGATGTGCACAGACCGAGGTCTAGCAACCCTGCTCCTAGGTGGACAGCATGAAAATGCCTTTGTTTGAGGGGACTTGTATAGGAATGTTCACTGCAGGACTGTTTGTAATAGCAAATGCTGGTGGCAATGTACATGTCCACCAAGAGAAAACAGGTTTCATGTGATACATAGAATACTGCACAATAATGAAAAAGAAAAATCGAGCCCTGGTCTGTGTGGCTCAGTGGTCTGAGTATTAGCTTGCGCACCAAAGGGTCACAGGTTTGATTCCCAGCCAAGGGCACGGACCTGGGCTGCAGGTTCAATCCCTGGACCTGGTTGGGGCACATGCAGGAGGCAACCAGTTGATGTTCCTTTCTCTCTTTCTCTCTCTCCCTCCCTCCTTTCCGTTCTCTTTAAAAATCAATGGAAAAAATATCCTCAAGTGAGGATTAACAAAAAAAAGATATAAAAAAAACAAGAAAAATCGATGACCTAGAGCAATGTGCACCAGTACAGATAAATCTGAAGTTTAAAAATATGCCAAAAAATGCCATATACTTGAGGGATATATATATAGAAATATATAAACAGACATTGGAATGATAACACCAAAACCAGGATAATGGTCTCCTGGATAGGAGGAGCATGGAGGGGAAGGGCCCCACAGAGCTTTAACTGTACCTCATTTCTTTCTCTTTTTTTTGTTAATCCTCAACCAAGGATTAGAGTGGTTTTTAGATAGAGTGGAAGGGAGGAAGGGAGAGAGAGAGAAACATCAGTGTGAAATACATCGATTGGTTGTCTCCTGCCTGACCCTGACTGGGGCCAGGGATCAAACCTGTAACCCAGGTATGTGCCCTTGACTGGGATCGAACGCGAGACTCATTGGTCTGTGCGCTGATGCTCTAACTGCTACACCAAACCGACCAGGGCAGTTTTCATGCTTTTTTATATGCCTAAAATATCTCATGTACAGAACGGATGTCTCCAAAATTAAAAACAACCTCATAATTTTTTAAAAGATGGGATGGGCGACACTGTCAGATGCAGCTGAGAGGTCAAGCGAAGGACTGCAAAGTACCCTTTGCGTCTCGCAGGAATTGCGCTGGAATGGTGGGGGGAGAAGACGTTCTCCAGGAGTACACGGTGCCAAAGAGGAGGCAGAGACACAGCCGATCTTTCCAGAAGGTGGATGAGAATGGGGTCAGGAAACAAACCTCTCAGGAATGTTCTATACCGAGTGCCTTCAGCTATCCCTTACGGTGAGCTCAGGGAAGGTCACAGGGTCCCTCCTTTTTGCCACTTCCAATTTCACCTCTGAAGAAAAGCATGTTGCCACTAACTGGCCAAGGTCAAGGTTACAGAGTGGGTTTTTGTTTTCTAGGCGGGGAACCTTAGCAGAAAGGGCATAGACTTGCAGTGTCCTCTTCTTGCTGGCCGATGGGCTCCATACTGGCCTTTCCTGGCCTTTGTAGCTTAGTAGGATCAGAGGATCGAGCAAGAACTTGGGAGAAGGACAGGCTGCTTGGCTACTGGCACACAGGGAAAAGGAGTTTTTCATATGGTTCAGCCCAACTTGTTAGATCTGTCCTTGGAAGTTTGAGGTCAAACCTTTTGTCCTTTTGCTGGCACTGTCTTCTTTTCAGGGAGGGCTGGGCTGGCTGAGTAGAGGATTCAGGTATTCTTGGGTCCCCTGGCCACACAAGAGCACCCCTTTAACAGTTATCTTATTTAACTCTGACCACAACCTAACACAGTGGTATTATTCTCTCCATCTAACAGGTGAAGGAAACTAAAGCACAGACAGGTTAAGTGACTTGTCCAAGGTCACAGCTAGCAAAAAGGTAGGACTGGGATCTGATCCTTCTGTGTCTGGCCCTGAAGTTCAGACTCTCCCACGCCGTGAAACAGTGCAGGAGCCCAACGAGGAAACAGAACTGTTAAACTCTCAGGGAGGGGAAGTCTGAGTTAGGAGGGGACTACATGAATGAGGTCCCTAAGGAATGGAAGCAGGTAGTTCTGAGAATATAGGGGAAAGGCTGGCTTTGGACAGGATAGAAAAGGACTGGAGGGGGTACTAGGTTAAGGCGAAAACATCAGGAGGGGATGACGGAGGAGCCTGGGGCATTCCTGGGGGATGGCCTCCACCTTCTCTGGGATTTCCCCTCATACCTAGTTCTTTAGCACCAATGTCTCTGGCACCACTTTTTCTTTTCTTTTCTTTTTTTTTTATCCTCACCTGAGGACATTTTCCCATTTTTTGTTCCGATAGAGTGGGAGGGAAAGAGAGGAAGAGAGAGAGAGAGAGAAACATTGATGTGAAAGGGACACATCGAGTGGCTGCCACCCACACGACCCAACCAGGGCCGGGGACAAACTGCAACCGAGGTACATGCTCTTAGTGGGAACCAAACCCGGGTCTCTCTGGACCGTAGGCTGACGCTCTAACCACTGACCCAAATTGGCCAGGCCTTCTTTTTTTTTATCCTCACCCGAGGACACTTTTTCATTCTTTGTTCAGATAGAGCAGGAGGGAGAGAGAGAGAGAGAAACATCGATGTGAAAGGGACACATCAAGTGGCTGCCACCCGCACGACCAACCAGGGCTGGGGACAAACTGCAACTGAGGTACATGACCTTAGCGGGAACCGAAGCCGGGTCTCTCCGGACCGCAGGCCGACGGTCTAACCGCTGAGCCAAACCGGCCAGGGCCTTTTTTTTTTTTAATCCTCACCCAAGGACATTTTTCCATTTTTGTTCAGATAGAGTGGGAGGAAGAGAGAGAGAGAGAAACATCGACGTGAAAGGGACACATCGAGTGGCTGCCACCCGCATGACCAACCAGGGCCGGGGACAAACCACAACTGAGGTACATGCCCTTAGCGGGAACCGAACCCAGGTCTCTCTGAACCGCAGGCCAATGCTCTAACCGCTGAGCCAAAGTGGCCAGGGCTTCTTTTTCTTTTTTAATCTTCACCCAAGGATACTTTTTTCCCATTTATCTTCAGATTGGGGGCGGGGGGCGGAAAAACACCAATGTGAGAGAGACACATCGACTGGTTGCCTCCTGCATGACCCTGACCAGGGCCGGGGACAAACCACAACCGCGGTAGGTGCCCTTGACTGGAATCGAACCATGACTCTCTGGTCTGTGGGATGATGCTCTAACTGCTGAGCCAAACCTGCCAGGGCTCTGGCACCACTTTTTCTATGGTCTCGCAGCACCATGTTCTCCCCTCATCAGAGCCCTCACTGTCCTGTACTCTAAGTACCTGCCTGCATCGCCACTAGCCTGAAGCTTTCTGAAGACAGCGACCATATCCATCCACTGCCCTGGTGTATACCTAGCCCTGACAAAGTGCTGGGCTCAGAGCAAACAGTCCATTAAAGAAGTAGGAAACAAGACAGGGAAGGAAAAAGGAAGCGAACATAAGGCACTGTTGAGAGTGGGGGAGGGCGTGGATCCCCAGCATGGGCACGTCTGAGGGTACAGCCCTGTCCTAAGTGTAGGGAGACAGTCTGGAAGATGAGCTGTTAATGTAGAGTGGGTCAGGGTTCCCAACATACCTTGACCTTTGATCCCAAAAGGTGGCACAAATTCACGGATCCTAGCCCACTTGCGGAAAGAGTCGTCCAGGAACATGGGTGCTGGCCTGGAGAACCTGGAATACAACAGGGACGTTGAGGACCCCAAATGTAGTAGGCGGAGCACTGGTTGGCTCTACTGTGCACCTGTCTTGCCAATTGTTCTGCTGGAAGCCACCTCCACGTTCCAGCACACCCTTCCTACCCCGGCCTGTTCACTGGGTAGTGGTTGTGTGGGATCTGACAGCTCTCGTTCAGCAGAGCCTGAATTCAAAGGAGCAGGTCGGGCCAGGCCTTACGTGGCCAGCTACAGGAGTGGAGAGACAAAACCTGCCCGTCAGGGATCAGTATTTCCGAGCTGGAAGCCCTCTGCCAGGTTAGCCAGGCATGCATCCATCAGTCCCTGCTGCCCACACGGTCCTGCAGTAGGGGAACAGAGATGAGACACTGTCCAGCGGAGCAGGAAAATAACCCAAAGCACAGCCAGTGCAGGGAGACAGAATTTTTGGAGAGAATCCTGAGAGGTGGACCACCCAGTGTGAGGAAGGAGAATTCATGATGAGAAAGCAAAGCTGGTGAACAGCCACAGGGGACAGAGGTCTGAAAGAGAAGGGAAAAACTACAGTATGTGGAGGCTGGGAGGCAGAGCTGGGGGGGCTTCAGACAAGCAGGAGCCTGAGCACATTCACTGGCAGAGAGAAGGACAGAGGAACGCAAAGTCCTTGGGAGGCGAGGGACTGGTACGGAGCTTCAGGAGAAGGGTTACCCTTCTTTTCGGCCTAGAGGAAAGACGGAGAGAAAAGTGAAGAGGAATGGTGAAGTGTGTTGCCTTGAGGGAAAGGGAAAATGCGAGTTTCACATTTCTTGGGAAAGCCAAGGAATGGGCAGGGCAGGGTGCAGGCCTGGAGAGGACAGGACACAGTCACATAGGGCGCGGAAGGGAGTGAGGGGAGAAGTGAACAGGCACAGGAGGGACCAAGGAGTGGGCAGGGCAGGGTGCAGGCCTGGAGAGGACAGGACACAGTCACATAGGGTGCGGAAGGGAGTGAGGGGAGAAGTGAACAGGCACAGGAGGGACCAAGGTCTTGAGATGCCTGGGCAGCACGTTCACATGGAGCCTAGCACCCTGGCTTTGAGACCTTTTTCAGGGCACTTGGCAGCCTGGAAGGTGGCCAGCATCTCATCATCCACTGAGTGCCGGGATGGAGGGGCCTGCTTTGGGCCTTCCTGGCCAAGAATAAATGTGTGTAGGCCTAGGCCTTGGTGGCTCTGTCTCTTTATTTCTAATTCAACTGAATAAGTCACTGAAAAACTGACGACTAGAGGAGAGGCCCTCTAAGTCCAGTAGCTAGAATTTACCCCCCAATGTCCTCTAACTCAAGTGTGCATTTCTCATTCCCATCATCACTGACACCATTTTAATCTCCATGCCCAGGAGAAATTATATCAGTAATCACTTGGATGTCTAATATTATTAGAGATTTAAAAATTTTTTTTTCTTTATTTCTAGAGAGAGAGGAAGGGAGAAGGAGAGAGAGATAGAAATATTGGTAAGAGAACATCGATTGGCCGCCTTCTGCATGCCCCCCACTGAGGATTGGGCCCACAACCTGGGCTTGTGCCATGACCGGGAATCATCGAACTGGCGACCTCTTGGTGCATGGGTTGATGCTCAACCCCTGAGCTACACCGGCCGGGCTTATTAGAGATTTTGCAGTGAACTTGAAAGAGGCAGAAAACTTTCCATCCTGCCCCCTCCCCACTGCTCACTGCTAGGAAGGAGGTGTCAGTCACACCTGACAGCATGGACAGCCCATCGCTGCACAGCAGCTTCCCTTTGCACATCTGAGTTCACCCGCTTCTCTCTGAGTACAAGGGCCGGGCACGTTGCTCGTGCCTGGCATATAAAGCCTGAGGGAATTCACGTATTTGATGCTACAACAGAGGCATTGAGGCCCCTGGCCATAGTTCATGTGTAACAGCAAAGGAAACAGGTCCCTAGAAAAGCCTGCAGCAAGAACTTCTCCTTCTGTATTAGAGCTGGGCTTACGAAAGTTTTACAAAGTCTCTCAGTCAGGCTTGGACAGGATTTATCTGCTTCCAATATGTACTGGATGTCATGTGCTAATGAAATCTCTGGAGATCTAGCCAAACAGTCTCAACATATTTTTCCCTTTTCCTCTCCCTTCCCCCATTTCCAGCTGATTAGAAAGTTCATTATGTTAATTTTGAAACACTCTCCTTTTAAAAATATTTTTTATTGATATTTAGAGAGAAAGGAAGAGAGGGGGAGAGAGAGAAAAACATTGATTGGCTGCCACCTGCATGCCCCCGGGCAGGTGTCCTGACCAGAATCAAACCTTTTTGTGCACCGGAGGACACCCAACCATGCCACACTGGCCAGGGCTAAAAATCCCTTATTTTTGATGTCACATATATGTTAATTTTGGAGAAAAATACAGATAAGTGTGCATCCACACAAAATCAATAAAAAATACCCATAATCCTACAACACAGAGACAACGAACCTTTAGGTACATATCTGTACTGATTTTCCTTTTCCCATATTATTTTTAGATAGCTCTGTAGACTTTCACTTTATATCATAAAAACGCTGCTATGCAAATAGGCACAGCTTTCTCCTAATTTACAATGGGTCAAATAACCACAAGCACTGGTAATCTGACACAAATCAGCCCACCCCCGAAATCAAATGTACAAGGATACACAACCCCCTTCCCTGTCTATTTGCCTGGAAAATCCCTTCTTTGAGTCCGAATACTGCTTCCTCTGGACGGCCTAGCTCCCCAGGTATACCTGCACTCTTCCTCTAGTGTTTCCACACTTTTGCTCAGCCCCAGGGGTGGCTCAGTGCCTGCAGAGCCTTGGAAGCTGAGCCAGGCTGTAAACAACAGGAAGTGGGGTGGGGTGGTGGTAGAGGTGTGTGCATGTGTGTGTCTGTGTGTGTGTGAATTCTGTAGGGGCCTGAGCAGAGCCTCATGCTGCACCTGGAATAGAACCCAGGGGTTTCTGTGCCAGCCTCGGGGCCTGTGGAGGTGGCCCAAGGTGCAGAATGACTGGTCAGAGGAGCGAGGGTGTAGGATGTCTGACCTGCCTGCCCTGGCCTAGGGGTGGCAGGGCAGGGTGGGGCGGGCTCCAGCAGACAGGCCCCAGCCCGCCAGGCCTGCGGAGAGGCAGCCTCAGGATCAGGTTTCAGCAGGGTGTGTGAGTGCGTGAGAAGGAACAGGGGAGGAAGACGGAAGTTGCACTGGGACCTGCCAGTCTTTTCCCCTTAAATCCTAGAAAGGCATGTGCTGAGGGTGGGTTTAACCCCCGTGCTTCTCGCAGCAAGGCCGGGACCCCAGGACCCAAAAGGCTGACCTGCCCATAGATCTACAGATTCTGACCCGTCAGTAAGGGCATCCCGGGCCCCTCCGAAAGGATCTTCCAGCTCATTTAATGCCCAGTGGTATGGCTGAGGTGCTGTGTAGGAGGCAATGTCCCCAGCTCTAGTTCACCAACCTCAACCATTTCCTAAGGCCCAGGACATCAGCCTGAACCCAGAGAGCAGCAGGAAAGCTGCCTGGGTCTTGTTAGAGGGCAGGGACTAGCTGCCTGTGGGCACCAGCGACTGAGAGTACTGTCGGCATCCTAGTTCCCACCAGCCCCTGAAAACCAGCCTTCAGACAGGGCTTTGCTGTATCAGGGCAGCTCGGCTTCAGCTCTCACCTGTGCCTGTTTGGTTGGGCGGCCAGCCCCTAGCCACCCACTGTTCCCAATAAACGGGAGCCGCCCAAGAGACAAAGGGAAGGCAGAGCCCGGCAGTGGGTCCTGAGACCAGGCACCACAGCAATTACCCTGTTGCATTCAGCCATAGCCCCTGGCACCCCCAAAAGTGGGACTGTCATTCAATGGGGGTACAAGCCAAACCCCACAGATCCATCTTCCAAGAACCTATTCTGGGAAGTGGCAGGTGGACAAAGCAGAGGGACAGGGTTTCTAGAATCTACCTTGGTCTTATTTGGGATCTTGCTGCAGCAGCCCCACCATAAATGGCCCTTCCCAGAAAGACCTTGGCACATGTCCAAGCACGTGAGCAAAGTGAGCACTGTCCAAATGCTTTGTCAGGCTTCATGCCTTGCTGCCACCCGCTGCTGACCAATTAACCGAAGCCCACGGCAGAGGAAGAGTGAGGAGAAAGGATGGTGGATCTGCAGGGCCGGTGGGCACATGTCCGGGGGAAGCAGTCCAGAGGTCAAGAAGACAAACTGCAGGCATCGCCCACAAGTACTATTCCAAGCATGAACATGAAGCTCCTGCCCCATCCAAAAACAATTTGCCTACTCAGTGCCAGGTCCTGTGCTAAGGGCTGGCTGGGGACCTAAAGGTAAACCAGCCTTGGTCCTTCCTTTAAGGAACTAACAGTAGACAGTAAACAATCCTAAAACAATGGGTCTGCACGCCCTGTGTTTTGGAATAGGCAGGGATACAAAGGTCTTAGACAAACTTAGAGGTAGAGGAAAATCTTGAAGGAGATGATGACAAGGCAGAGCTGAGCCTTGAAAGACAGGCAAATGTGAGGCTGGCGGATAATGTTGGGAAGGGTATTCAAGGACCAGGGTCACGTAGGTGAAGGCACAAAAGAGAAGAGAACCTTATCATCAAGACAAGGAGGGGGACTGCCGAGGCTGGACAGGGTGAAGCAGCACCTGCCCGGGGCAGAGGAGCTTCCGCCAGGTACCCTGCCCCTGTGACTCTTCCCTCTCGTCCCACCCAGGCAGGTGGAGCAATGCGTGAAGAAGGGTCGAGTGGGCAAATGCATTCTGACTGGGTGTAAACAAGCAGCTGAGGCGCCAGCTCGCACAGAGGGAAAGGCCAGGGCAGGGCGTGCATGAGCACTGCCGGGTTGGCCTGGCGCCCTGAGGCTGTGTCAGGATCCATTTCAAGCTGGAGCGTCACCGGGAACTTGGGGCACTCAGTTCATGCTCTTTCTTGCTGACACACCGCAGTGGATATCTGCGCACCTTCCCGCTTCTCTTGGGAGCGCATCCTACTTTTCATTCCATGCGGTCCCGGC